CTCTGGTTCTCTATTGTTCTTATACTTGCTTGGTGGTGTCTCATCCAGTCACATGGCTTCAAACCCCATCTATGTGTTTGTGTTTCTCTCTCCAACCCAGTCCTCTCTCCTAATCTCTAGACTTAAATGTCTAACTGCCTGCTTGACTTCTAAACTTGAGTCTCCTACAGGTATCTCAGGCTAAGCCCCAAAGTAAACTCTCTATTTTCCTGCCAAACAAATATACTTCCTGTGGTCTTTCTTGCCTCAGTGAATAACTAATCCATCCTTCCAGATGCTTGGAATTACCTTGATGACTCTCATTCTCTTACACCTTTCTTCCATTCTAACAGGGAAAAACTATAGGCTCTATCTTCAACATGCACCAGGAATTCAATCACTTCTCATCACCAATTCCATCCTGGGCCACGCCACCATCTCTCACAGGAATAATTGTATAATTAGCATCTAACTGGTCTCCCTGTTTCGTCCTTGCATTCTTTTATCCATTCTCAACATGGCAGTCAGAGGGATCCTGTTGGAACCTGAGTCAGATTCTGATATCTCTCTGTCCAAAACCTGTCAATGACACTGCCTCACTCCAAGGAAAAGCCACAGTCATCACTATGATCACAAGGCCCCACCGATTTACCACCCATCGATTTACTTCTCTGACCCGTCTCCCCTTCTCTCCCCTCACAGACTCTGTTCTGCCACACTGGCCTCCTGCTGCTCTTCCATCATGGAAACTCCATCCTCTGCCGCCAAAACTCTGTCCAGGAGTAGGTTTAATTCACCCTTTCCTCTCCTTTATTCAGCTGTCACTAACCTCTTGCCCCCCCCCCCCCCATCACCCCTGCTTGCCCTCCCTCACCACCATCCAACCTACAATGGGCTTCCTTACCTCGTTTATCTGTCTCCAGGAGGCTAGGTACCTTGTCTTTCCTGCTCACTGCTGTCTCTTTGACCCCTAGCACACATTCTTGAGTGAATGACTGACTGGCTGAGTGAAGGAATGAATCAATGAATTCACCGCCGGGCAGGCCACCAGCAGTACCAGGCTCCCTGACCCACTGGCCCACTGGCCGGCCCGCTTTCTCTGTGGGGATGCCCAGGCTCTACCCGCAGCGGGCACGCTGCCCATTCAGCTCTGTCAGAGTGGCCGCTCTCTGCCAGAACAAACACGCTTGGAAGGGCTCTGAGCTCTGTTATTAACAGTGAAAGAAGGACTGATCCTCTAAGCCTGCCTCCAGTGGAGCCCAGGCTAATAACAGCTTTGCCAGGAAACCTCCCGAGGCTGGCAGCCCACCTGGGAGCGCCCATGCGTGCCCAGACCTGTCTGCCATCTCCAACCCCTGGGCTTTCTGTGTTTCCTCTAGATTTCTGGTAGAAAAGAGATAAAGCACCTTTGATGCTGGTTCTTGTTTAATTCTCACAAGTTCTTCGCGCAGCCTGAGAAGTCTGACAAAGACGGGAACGGGGAGGGGGTGTGAAGGAGGGGCAGGTCTGGCTTCTGTGTGGGATTCTGTACAGCGCCCTCATAGCGAGCAAGTGGCTGGGCGGGGAGGGAGGGAGAGGACAGACAGATAAACAGACAGACAGGGAGGAAAGAGAAGTGAAGAAAGGCTGAGCAGGCATGCACACTGGGTGTAGGTAGACCTGTGGACAGCCCATGTGGGGGGATGAAGCACAGCCTTGGGCTCAGAACATCAGCCTTCACTTCTCAGCTCTGATCCCTGACTGGCTGTGTCATGAGCTCAGCAGATTCTTTGTCCTGCAGTTTCCATCTTTGTTTTATTTATTGTTTATTTTTATATAATAATATATGCACACGTCCAGAAAAGACATTGCAAGACAGAGTCCTGTGTAACTGTGACCACCATCCTTCCATGGCGTCATTTCTTCGCTTTTCTTTATGTTTTTGCTGCCTAATTATCTATCCATGAATAACAGTTTACTGCTGCCCTGTTTCCAACCTTACATAAACAAAATCCTAAAGCACATTGTTAGGCTTCCCTAGGCCCACTGGGTTTTTAGAACTCAGGCATGTTGGGCAGAGCTGTAGTTAATCCTTCTCACTGTTGTGAGTTTCTTTCTCAGAATGAATCCTATTTATTTATCCACCGTATTATTGTTACACACTTGGCTGGTGTCGGGTCATCATCAATAAGGCTGCTGTGAACATCTGACTTGTACAGCCTCCTGGCACACCAGTGCACATATTTCAGTTTGGAACATGCCTAACAGTAGATCCACTAAAACTGTGGTTGGCAAACTGTGGCTCGCGAGCCACATGCGGCTCTTTGGTCCCTTGAGTGTGGCTCTTCCACAAAATCCCACGGCCTGGGCGAGCCTATTTTGAGGAAGTGGCTTTAGAAGAAGTTTAAGTTTAAAAAACGTGGCTCTCGGAAGATATTTCAGTCGTACTGTTGGTATTTGGCTCTGTTGACTATTGAGTTTGCCGACCACTGCACTAAAACAGGCGTGCACAGCACCGACTTCTGCCGGTACCGCCAACGACTTCCCTAGCGACACCGGCGGTGTCCGTGGCATGCTGCCCTCAGCACCGGTGGAACAGACGGTCCTTTTCTTTCAGCCGCGCAGTGGGTGAGAAGGATGGCACTGTGTTTTAGTGGGCGCTTCCCGGTTCCTGCCGAGACCGGGCACACGCCTGTGCTCACAGCTCAGGGGCTCTTCTGCAGCGGGGGGCGGTGCCAGGGTCTCACCGCTGTCTGTCTGTCTCGGCCTCCCTGGTTTGTAGGAGTCTGAAGAATGAGTCATCTGATGGTTGTTCAGGTAGCAAATACCTTCTTTCAACCTATAGCTGCTTTCCACCTTTTCAATCTGCCTTTTAAAGCATTGGTGCTCTTCATTTTATATAGTACAATTTGTCAATCTTTTCCTACAAGAGTAATGCTTTCTGTAATTCATTTCACAAATCTTTCTCTACCCCAAGACCACGGCTATGTTCTCCTATTTCCAGTGTTCTAAGGGTCCACTTATCACAAAGCAAACTCCAGACACAGGGAAGCCTAGAATGTTCTGTCGGCTCACTATCAACCACCTGCACCAAAGGACGCCCATGGAGGCTGCCAAAACCCTCGGCGGGCGTGAGCCCTCCCGGCCATTAAATTGGGGCTGTGGGTCCTGCTCGCTGCGACCATCAGGGGCAGGAGGCTACGGCTAACAGTGTGAGGCCACGTACGAAGCCAGGAGTGGAGAGGAGGGCAGGGAGGTGAGGCGAGAGGGGGCCCTGCCCACGAGGGGTGTAGGACCGGGAGATGTGCTGCCTGCCCCCAAAGGTGACCTCTGGCCTCTGTCTGGACAGGGCACCAATTAAACACCGAGTGGGAGAGCAGGGATTCCCGGGACTCCTGTGCCACAGCCGGCGGCCGAAGGCCATGGTCTACACTCAGCAGGGACACTGGCCCAGCCCAGCCAGCGAGGCGATCCCCCCAAAGCTCTTTGCGTGATGATTCACGTGGAGACCAACCCCTAGGCACAGCAACTGCCCAGCTGGCGCCACCTTTGCTCTCTCCTGTGCCCACGTCCAGACCATCGCAAACTCGCCTGCAGAGCAGCTGTTCAGTCTTCACTCCCACGCCAGCCCACTGTCGCAGACGGTCGTGTCCACTCTTGTCTGCGGTCCCACCCCCACAGGCGGCCACGTGGCTCCTCTATACATTAAGCCAGGTCTGTCTGCCACTTGCTCAGAGCCTCCCCGATGCCCCATCGATTTAGAACAAGATCTGAAATCCCATGCTCCCTCTCTAGCCTCAGAGCTCCACTCCCGGCCCTCGCTCCCCTGAGGCACCTGCCTTCTGAGATCCCCTGTGTTCCCACCGCCCGATCCCACCGCCCAATCACCGCCCGATCCACCGCCCGATCCACTGCCTGATCCCACCACCCGATCCACCGCCCGGTCTACTGCCTGATCCACTGCCTGATCCACCACCGGATCCACTGCCTGATCCACCACCCGATCCACTGCCTGATCCACCACCTGATTCACTGCCTGATCCACTGCCTGATCCACCGCCCGGTCCACTGCCTGATCCACCACCCGATCCACTGCCTGATCCACCACCCAATCCACTGCCTGACCCACCACCCGATCCACTGCCTGATCCACTGCCTGATCCACTGCCTGATCCACCACCCGATCCACTGCCTGATCCACCGCCCGGTCCACTGCCTGATCCCACCACCCGATTCACCGCCCGGTCCACTGCCTGATCCACCACCCGATCCACCACCCGATCCACTGCCTGATCCACCGCCCGGTCCACTGCCCGATCCACCGCCCAATCCACCGCCCGGTCCACTGCCTGATCCACCACCCAATCCACCACTCGATCCACCGCCCGATCCACCACTGGGCCCATGCACTCACTAGTCCCCCTGTTGCGTGCGTTTCCCTGCATTCTCCTGGTGACCGCACTGAGCTGGCTCCGGTCCCACTGTCCTTCCTGTAGCCGTAGCCCTCACTGCCCTCCCTTGGGACACAGGAACTGTGGACTTAGGGCTTGTTTCCTTGCCCCCCCAGGAAAGCACAGGGAGGGGCGGGGTCACCAGCTGCTTTGTTCACCACCCACCGAACAGCAGTGCCTAGAACAAACCTCACCACCTCCTGGCGCCCACACAGGTGTGCGTACAGGAGGACGTGAGTGGGTGGAGCTGCTGCGTCCTGTCCGGACAGGCCTCTGTGTCCGCACAGGCACCGCAGGGGAGGGACACTGCGCTGGGCATCTGCTCTGACTCCCAGCGCTCACCCCACCAGGCACAGACCTCAGGCACCGAAGCACAGCAGGGTCTGGTGCAGAGGCCAGCAGGCAAAGCCCTCGGTGTGCCGTGCCAGAGGCACGTCTGGAAAGCGGCCCTGGTTTTCCGGCCTGTGCGCCTGGGCCCGCTCTCAGGGCCGGCCGCGGAGGACAGCACTGCCTGCCTGAGAAGCCTCGACCCAGCCAGGGCTCCTGGCAAGAGGGCTCTGCCGGCCTGCGCGGGGGGAGGGGTGCGATTACCTGGACGCGAGGGTTCTAGAGGGTGAGCATGCAGACTACGGGCAGTACCTCCACCAAACGGGGCCCAGATGACCCGGCGGATGGCCTGCACCCAGTCCTCCATGTCACGCTGAGAACTGGCCATGAGCAGGAGCCCCTCGGGGCTGGCCGGCACCTTCTCCCGCTCCCCGGCACCACCTGCAAGACAGGGAGACACAGGCTTACCCAGGGACCTGCGCAGACACGGGGCCCTCCCCTCGCCCTCTCAGCCTCACCCCAGTCATTGTTTTATTTCTGGCTGTGAAGGGCGTTTCTCCACCAACAACAGCAGCCCTGTTCTGGCCCTGCGCTGGCGCTACTTCTGCAGCCCAGCCTTTCAGGCCTCACACCTGCCAGGGGCACTTTCGGGGGATTTCTCCTTTAGTCTTGTGATCTTCTTGTATGGAATCGGGATCACTAACCCATCCTGGGCACCATTTTACAAAGCACAGAGATAGAGGCCCGCTTGGGGAAGGTCAGAGCCCGGGATAAAATTCCAAAATTCTGCCCCGTCCCGCTCCCAGCCACAGACTGACGCCAGACTAAAGGCAGATGGGGGCTTTGTTGTTTTGTGGGTGGTTTCTTTCTCTGTGTAGAAGATTTTATTTCGATGTCGTCCCATTTGTTTGTTTTCTCCTGAGAGATGTCTGAGATTTTGCTGCCTATGGTTTCTTCTAGAACTTCTATGGTTTCACAGCTTACTTTTAAATCTTTTGTCCATTTTGAGTTTATTCTAGTATATGGTGTAAGTTGGTGGTCTAGTTTAAATTTTTTTTTTTTTGCATGTACCTGTCCAATTTTCCCCACACCATTTATTAAGAGACTTGTCTTTATTTCATTATATGATCTTGCCTCCTTTGTCAAATATTAATTGCGTATCATCAGAAAGATACAAATTAAAATGACAATAAGGTACCACCTCACACCTGTGAGAATGTCTTCCATCAACAAATCAACAAGTGACAAGTGCTAGAGAGGATGCGGAGAAAAAGGAACCCTCGTGCACTGCTGGTGGAAATGCAGACTGGTGCAGCCACTGTGGAGAACAGTATGGCGTTTCCTCAAAAAACTAAAAATGGAACTCCCATTAGATTCAGTGATCCCACTATAGGAATATATCCTAAGAAATCAGAAGCACCAACCAGAAAGAATGCTTGCACCCCTGTGTTCACAGCAGCACAGTTTACAATGGCTGAGATCCGTAAACAGCCTAAGTGCTCGTCAACAGAGGAGTGGATAAAAACCAGTGGTACATTCACACCATGGAATACTATGCAGCAGTAAAGAAGGATCTCTTACCCTTTGAGACAGCACGGAAGGACCTGGCGAGTATCATGCTAAGTGAAATAAGTCAGAGAAAGACAAGATCTCACTCACATGTGGAATCTAATGAACAAAATAAACTGATGAACAAAATAGATCCAGAGGCATAGGGGCATGAACAGACTGCTGAATCTCACAGGGAAGGCGGGGGAGGGTGGGTTGGAGGGAAGTGATCAACCAAGGAATTTGTATTCATTTACGCATAACCCATGGCCACAGGCAACAGTGAAGTGAAGGCATGGTGGGAAGGGGAGAGTGAGAGGTGGCAGTGGGCTAGAAGGGGTCATGGGGGGAAAGGAAAATATCTGTCATACTTTCAACAATAAATATTTCTAAAGAAAAGTAAAATAAAATAAAATAAAGGCAGAAGGAGAAAAAGCTGAGGTTTTCCCTGCAATAAATCCAGAGAGTCTCATGTGTTCATGAATTACTCTTTCATATGTAAATGAACTAGTATTTGGGATGTATATAAATCATTTATATTGAACTTCATAGGCAATTTAAGGGATTTTCAAGAATAATCTTGTCTTTATGGAGCCCTCTTCACTCCCCCACACCATCACATAATTGTGACTTGCCTATATACTTGCCCTGGTCCCAGAGCCTCACACCCTAACCAGGACCGTGGGCAGTGGTGTGAGGCTGCCGACCTGAGTTCCCAAGGGGATGGGATGGATTGGGAGAATTGGGACCCTGGGTCCTCACTGGAGGCCGCAGCCCCAGGTGCAGACCAGGCAGAAGCAAGCACTACCTGGGACTCTTTCAGGAGCTGCAGACACTCAAATGAGCAAAGCGACAGACACATCTGCCCTCCTAGGCCCTTTAAGCTACACAGCCCCTGAGGGAAGACGTTACCACCTGCATTTTACAGGTGAGGACACGAAGCACATGGGATTAAGGAATCTGCCTGCACTCACACCGCCAATGCATAGCAGCCAGGGATTCCAAGTCCTCAGCTCTGGACCCAGCTCATGGACCTGCTGGGGTCTGGTGTCTGGTCACAGCAATGCCACCAGACAGGGGAAACTGGAGCAGGGGGTGGGGGTGGGGTGGGAGTGTGTGTGCTGGGAGCAAGGTCTGAGGCCAGGTGGGAAGCAGGAGGGGCCCAAAGCTGAGGAGGCTGGTGAGCAAGGAGACAAGATAGCCAGGGCCCCGGTGCCTCTGGAGCCCTCACTACACATACGGCCTGCTCCCCGGGTTCTCACAGCTACTGAACAGCAGCGAGCAGGGGTGTCGAGGAGATAGCTCAGGCAGAGACACGGAGCTTGAAGGCCGGAAGCAGTGAACCTGCTGACAGCATAGGGGCCACCGGCTGCAGTGGCACCCATGGGGGTGTGGGCTCGACACCGGTAGGACCCCATGCCCGTGGCCTGGAGGACTGAGATGGCTGAGGGTTCTAGGTGGGAGGGGCAGCTGGTTGCCACCAGGGCTTCTCTGGAAGAGTCTCAACATGACTCAGAAGAAAGGGGCCTGGAGGTCCGAGGCTCCAAGAACCTATTGTGGGTACTTGTTGGTCCTAAATGAATACTCAAGTTTACGCTAAATTGGGATGTCTCATTTTTCAAATCTTTTTCCCAAAGAGGCACCCATTTCATATAGGCTTTATTTGAACATCACCTATAGAACCTGGTCCTGCCCTGCCCAGATGTTGACAGCTGTTCTTGTGCCCAGCTGTGCCCTGTCCATGATCTTGCTCTCATGGTGCTCTAAGCCTGTGTATTTAACTTGTTAATGTATTTCCATGTATGTATATTTATTTATGTATATGTGATATATATATATATATATATATATATATATATATATATATATATATATTTGACTTTTTAAGAAATTGCCACAAACTATTTTCCAAAGTGAGTGCACCTTTCCCAGCACCTCCCCCCGGAAGTGCAGAGCTCCCAGTCCTCCACTTCCTCCAGCATCTGGTCTGAGCAGCCTTCAGACCTGCAGCCGTTCTAATGTGCACAGCTGTCCACCAGGTCTCCGAGTCTGCATTCCCGAATGACAAAGACGTTGGACATCTTGTTATGTGCTTAGGTGCCATCCATGTATCCTCTTTGTAAAATATCTTTTGTCCATGTTTTAAATATGTTGTTCATTTTCATTATTATTGAGATTTGAGTACTTCACATATTCTGGGTATACGTCCTTTATCAGATATGTGCTTTGCAGATACTTCTCCCAATCTGTGCCTTTTCTTTTCATTCTATTCACAGCAGATTTTTAAGAAGAGAAGTTTTTAATTTTGATCAAGCCCAATTTTATTAACCTTTTTCTTTTATTGAGTGTGCTCCTAGCTTTGTACTTAAGAAATATTTCCGTAAGCCAAGTCACAAAGGTTTTCTTGTAAAAGTTTCATAGTTTTAGGGCTTACATCTAGGTCTGTGAGTTAGTTTTAGCATATGGTACGAAGTATGAGCTCATCCTCTTGTACCTGGTTGTCCAGCTGTTTGGCACCATCTGTTGAATAGACCATCCTTTCTCTATTGACTTGGGAGAGCACCTATAGAGGTGATTGTGCCATCTGCAAATAAATACAGCTTTAGTTCTTACCTTCCCACCTGGTGCCTTTATTTCCTTGTCATTCATTGCACTTACTATAGCCTCAATAACACGATGTTAAATGGAAGTAGGGAGAGTAGACTAGTCCTTATCTTGTTCATCTTATGGCAAAAAGCATCCCATTAAGCATATTTGCTGTAGGTTTTTCCTTTCTCAGGCTGAGGAAGTTCTCTTCTATTTCCAGCTTGCTGAGAGTTTGTTTTGTTTTTTAAATCAGAAATGGATGTTTGGATTTTGTCAAATGTTTTTTATGTATCTATTGAGACATCACGATTTTATTTTAGTTTTTTAATATGATAAATTACATTGATGAATTTTCAAGTCTTAAACCAACCTTGCATTCCTGGAATCACAATTGGTCATGATATATGATCTTTTTATATATTGTTGAATTCAATTTGCTAAAATTCTGTTGAGAATTTTTTATTTATATTCTCTATGGATATTGACCTGACATTTTTTCTTTTCTTATAAAGTCTTTGTCCGTTTTGGTATCAGAATAATGCATGCCTCACAGAACAAGCTGGCGAGTATCCTTCCTTTTCAATATTTTTGGAAGAGTCTGTGTTACTTATTTGCTACTATTACTTATTTGTTAATGTTGGTAGAATTCCCCAGTGAGGCCACCTAGGCTTGGATTCTTCTTTTGGGGAAGGTGTGTTCATAACAAGTTTAATTTAACATCTGCATCTATTCTTCTTAGTGAGTGCTGGTACTCTGTATCTTTCAAGGAATATGTTTCATCTAAATTGTTGAGTTTATTGGTGTAAAGTTGTTCATAATATTCCCTTGTTATATTTTACTATTTGAAGACTCTAGTGATGTCAGCCCTCTCATTTCTGATATCGGTAATGTGTGTCTCTCCTTTTCTTCTATCAGTCTTAGTGTTAGTTTTACAGCAGGGTGGGCAGTTGTGGCACAAACCATATGAACTAAAAACCTATTTCTATCTAGCCCTTTTATTAAAAAGTTTGTTAATCAGAAAAACGAAAACAAAGACATAGACAAGGAAGTCACTAAAACAGAAAGCTGCTTTTTTGAGATTAATAAAATCGGAAATCTCCCGACATGCACGTGATGAGTTCTCACAGGAGTTTTTCTCCTGAACAGCTCTTTCCTCCTCCGCACTCTATCCTGAACATCCAGATACATTGGTCTCCCAGCTCTGTCTCCTGGACTCGTGGAGTCCTGTGCCCTCTCCACCCTGGGGTTCCTCTCCCTCACAGCCCGGAAGCATCTGAGGGGCAGTGAGCTGGGGCCTGTCACTGTTC